TAAAATTTGCAGTATAAGAAGAAAACAAACAGTGGTTGATGATGAGTTCTTGCTACATTGTGACCTCCAATAAATATTTTGTAAATTAGATTTTTATCTTTGTTTCCTCCCTTTTTTCGATTATGCAAAATTGTAATGTTGGTAAAAAATGTTCAAAATTCAAAAATAATTTGTTTTCTTTTTGGGCGTTTGCAAATTGCGAATATGAGAGGGAAGCTATCCCGCCATTAGGAGGAGAACGCTCCATAATCCTTTACGGCTCAGTCGGTGGTGACCCTTTTATCCTCTACTTGGCCTCGCCGACTTTCTTCGCCGGAGTAATAGAGTGCCCGTGTAGAAGAAGCAGAAGACTCCTCTGTTTCTTAAATGTATTTCCTGTGCTTTCTTCTCGTAGTCATTTCTAGGGTTTTTAGTTTTCGCTCTTTCTCGGATCGATGCGTTGCTTGGACCTGCGAATACGTCTAATTGCTAGTTTCCGAATTGGGTTTTCGTTTTCGGTGGGTAAATTAGAATCCTTTGGAGTCATGACTGGTCGATTTCACTTCGATTTCCTGTTTTCTGAGTACTTTTCCCCGATTTTCAAGTGTTGAAATTGGTGGGCTTAGGCTAAAAACTAGCGGAATCGTTGTGTGTCACTGGAGTTTGTTTTTGTTCATAAACATTCTCGACCGAAATTTTGCAGATTTTTGTGAATCACACTAGAATTTGTTAATTGCGTATGTTTTAGTCAGTGAAAATGTGCATTTCTTTCAATTCTTGTTGCATTATCATCAGCACGCACTAACCAGAATGCATTTTCTTTCTTTGTGTGTTTATGAAGTGACCAACTTGCCGTGTCAAGGGAAGTGAAACTTGCTGGAATTTCTTTAGCATGCTAAACCTATGATTAGTTCGAATCAAATGAGGCAAGAATGTTCATTTCCTTGTACTCTCTGCGTTTTTTGACTTAAGCTGTCTGGCAGTTTCTTACTTTTGTTTGCTCTCCGTTACTTGATGAAATGCAGTAGGAGTCATCTCCCTGAAGTTCAGAAACCTAGAGGTCCTCAAACTAATTGGTCAGAACATGGAAAGGCGCTCGAGAGTCCATTGTCCGCGAAATTTCTGAGCTCCAATTTCCTTTATGCTCTAGAAAGTCAAAAGCCTAGAAGAAACAGAGATATGACTGCAAGGTATTACGGCTATATGTTCATTCTTTCAAAAACAATCATCTCCTTCTGTCTTCTGTCAGTGTTTCTTGAATGTCCTTTACTTTGGCCCGGTACTATCTGCTGTTTGGGTTCATAGAAGTAGAACTATTTAAGATTTAGTATCAAACAAATTGAGTGATTTCAAGGATAGCTTTCGACCACATTGTATTATCTCTCTTTTCCTGCATCATTTGGATCTTTGGGCCAATTCGTGTTTTGTTTTCTTGTTAGTAGCTTTGAACAAAATAGTGGATTCTGCTTATGCATGGGTTGACTCTCATGCCACCAAACTACCCCAAATGATATTGAGTGTGATGTGCATAATATTTCTCTTTAATGTCTCTAGTAAGAATATGTCCATGCTGAAAATTCTTGTAAGGTTTTCTTAGTCTTCTTCATGAATCTGTTTACAACTAAGTGATTCACAATTATATAAAAAGTTTTGTTCTCCCTCTTGTCTAGGTCAAGTGCATTTCTCAGTGTTAATGCGCCTGCTTTGGCTCACCCGCAAATTGCAAAGGTAACATTTTTCAAGGGAAATTGTGGTGTGAATCATAATTTTTAACTGATGCATTTCCTTTGTCATGAGAAGGATCTGCATTACATGTCTATCTTTTTCTCTTTCCATTTCTTTGAATAAATAATTGATCTCATCTTAGTTCTTATATTTCTCTGGTTTCTGGTCGACTTTCCCCTTTTATAGACCTCGTCTCATGAACTGCATATATGTTAATTATTGGCATCCTATGTTGGCAGGCTTGGCGTGCCCTTTCAAGCCTCTCCATAAATAATGCCTACCTAAGACCTGGCATTACCCCCACTGTTGATGATGGTGGCACCAATGGCTCATATTCTGCAAGAGAGAGATCCACTGTGAAAGTTACATCTAGCACTGATGGTTCTTTTTATTCGAACAGTCGACAAAACCAAAGTCAAATGAGTGTTTCAGGAGCTGGTGGATACTTTCACAGCTTCCCTTCCTCTGTCCCTGGTGATGATAAAATGATTGCTGATAAGCTTCCACGGGGAAATGATGGGGCCAGAGAATCAGAAACCAGTTGCATGCGTTTAAATGGTGGGGAGAAACCATTCAGGAATTCTGCATTCCCAGCTGAGCAGTTGGAATCTGGAGAAGCATGTCTTGATGAGATTGATGATGATGAAATACTTAAGGTAATTTTACCAGTGAAAGTAGCACATCGTATTTCCTTATTTATTTCCTCGTAAATAAGCTAGTTTTTCTTAATCTTTTATTTGTAGTATCTGTAAATTGTAGCATATTTTTATGAGAGAAAAGATCAAAACTAGTTATAGCTTACCTTGTAGTTTAAACTGTTATCCAGTTCGGATCTGAAGGAAGTCTTTTCATAGATGCTTATGCAGAATAAGCCTTTGTAGTGAGAATACGTCAACTCAAGCATGTTTCCACTTTGTGATGCAGAATATTGATGTCGACCAAATTGTGATGGAACATTACCAATCAACAAGTACTCCTCAACCATCAGTATCTGGTTTTCCATTGAGAACTCCAACTGTGGATAGAAGTGCTTCCAGAAGAGAAGAAGAGTGTTCTCTGCCTCCTGAATTATGTTCCAACTGTAGTCATGGAATAAAGGTATGACTACTGCTTTTCTCTTCTTTTTTTTTTTCTTCAATGGTTTGAAACCTATTGGTTTTCTCATTTTATTTGATTTTGGTATCTACTCAGCTAGGACTTTGTCCAGAAGCTTCAAGCCATGTGGAACAAATGAAGGACGTGCTGCTTGCAATTTCCAATGAACTTCTTGACGATGCTTCTGACTTGAGTCCTGATCGTGATGAACAGCTTCGTCAAGAGAGGTCTATATCCCTATTAATTTTGGTCCCGTTTTCTTGGTTGTTAAATTTGCCTTTTTATAAGTGTAATAATTTAGTTTCCTTTGGAGGTTGTGGTATATTACCTAGCAAAATTTATCGCGAATACAACAGCAAGAAGGGATTAGGCTTAACGAAATAATAGACTATGTATCTGAGTCTGAGTATATAAGGGTTTCACAACTGCGAGTGTGCCTTGACTTTTGGTCAGTTTCTAATGTATCACAACTTGTATTGTTGCTAGGTTGCAACTGAAGAAGCAAATTCAGCAGCTCGAGAACCATATCCGAGATAAAGAAATGCAAAAATCTCAGTTTTTGTCATCTACAGCTGCTCGTACTTTCCAGTATGAAACACCTAAATCAACAAACCTAAACATGGATCATCCACAAAATGATTTTCGAGCACATTTTAGTGAGCAAGGTAGATATGCATGTGATAGCTGGAATATGCCAAGGGATTCTTCATTTTCTGTAGATAGGTATGGTCTTTCATCTGCTCCTATAGAGAGGGAACAATATGTTCCGAAGATTATTGAGGTGAACTACACTGAAGGTTCAACTGACAAAAAGTGGAGCAGCCGTGATTTTACTTGGACAAAAAAATTGGAGGTAATTAGCTGAGTTTCTCTTTTCTTTGTTCACTTACATTCCATGTGTTCATGTGTTTCCTTGCAATGTTCAGGTTACTAACAAGAAAGTGTTTGGAAATCATTCATTTCGACCTAACCAGAGAGAAATCATCAATGCTACAATGAGTGGGTCTGATGTTTTTGTTTTGATGCCAACCGGAGGAGGGAAGAGTCTGACATATCAGGTCACTATACTAAAACGATTACTTTTTAATTTCACTTTAATTTTTTCAAACTAATCTTGTTTTTCACTGAGATATTTGCGTACATAAGAGATGGAAGTTTCAAGTTGTGTCCTCCAAACTTCAAGTTGTGTCTAACATCTTTCTTTTGCAGCTCCCCGCTCTGATCTGTCCAGGTATAACATTAGTCATTTCTCCACTAGTGTCACTTATTCAAGATCAGATAATGAACCTACTGCAGGTAAACACTTCAGCAACCCCCAGAGATTCTAGTTGTATCTTCTGTTTCATTGATGAATTATTCTCATAGAGGATTCTTTCCATTTGACACTTTGATTTCTGAATCATGGTTAAGGCCAATATACTCGCTGCGTCCCTAAGTTCCGGCATGGAATGGGCTGAACAACTGAAGATCCTTCAGGAGCTGAGTTCCGAGCATTCTAAATACAAACTACTATATGTCACGCCCGAAAAAGTGGCACAGTGAGTTGTTATTTTTGTAATGTAAAACGCTTTTTGTTTTTTGATTTGTTCTGTATTGCTCTTTTACTAGCCTCGAGTAGGATATATCGTGGCCTATGATATATGCAGTACTATTAGGGTTTTTTTATAATTCTAGATTAGTTATTAGCATGTGATGGACAAGTAATGCAAGGCTCGCCACAGTGAATTATATTACTGGTAATACGTAGCTAAGAAGTATCTCTTTCTTGACTACAGAAGCGACTCTCTTTTGAGGCATCTAGAAAACTTAAATTCTCGTAATTTGCTTGCTCGATTTGTTATTGATGAAGCTCATTGTGTGAGCCAATGGGGGCATGACTTTCGACCAGACTACCAGGTTAGGCCATCAAAAGCTTCAAACAAGGCACCTCTCTTAATTTTTGAGAAGCATAGCCTTCCTTTCTTACCCACCAAAAATATTGTGGAATATGCAGAGTCTTGGTATTCTGAAGCAGAAGTTTCCCAACATTCCCGTCTTAGCTTTAACAGCTACCGCAACAGCCAGTGTGAAAGAAGACGTTGTACAAGCCCTTGGCCTTGTTAACTGTGTTGTGTTCCGGCAGAGTTTCAATCGCCCAAATCTATGGTAAAATAAAACTACCTAAAATCATATCTCTATATATATGTATTCCAGAATGCTGCTTACCAAGAAGTTTGCAGGTACTCCGTTGTTCCCAAGACAAAAAAGTGTCTGGAAGATATTGACAAATTTATCAAGGAAAACCATTTTGATGAATGTGGAATTATATATTGTCTTTCAAGAATGGACTGTGAGAAAGTTGCTGAAAGGTTGCAGGTTGGTCATTTGTATATCAAAGCTTTATCCTGTCATGTGCATATCACATATATCATGTTTAAGCGTGGAATTGGATACTATTTTCAGGAGTTTGGTCATAAAGCAGCATTCTACCATGGCAGTATTGAGCCTGCTCAGCGTGCCTTAGTACAGAAACGATGGAGCAAAGACGAAATAAATATAATATGTGCTACTGTGGCCTTTGGAATGGGTACTGGTTTTTGTTAATGTTGTTTTAATTAATTGAATGTTGCTGCCCATTAACATTGCACATTCAGGAATCAACAAGCCTGATGTCCGCTTTGTTATTCATCACTCGCTCCCGAAGTCTATAGAAGGCTATCATCAGGTATTTAATTGCACAATCAATTATGAAAATCTTATTTAACTGATTGCACATAAAGCTAGATACTGGTATTTCTTCTAAAACTAATATAAGCTATATTATTTTTTGATCCAAGGAATGCGGTCGTGCTGGCAGGGATGGTCAGCGGGCATCTTGTGTTTTGTATTATGGCTATGGAGACTATGTAAGTTGCATTTATAATAAGATGTATATTTTTTTTCATTTCCTATCCGCTTTGTTAGTCTGGAACTATGAATTTATTATCTTTCATCTTTCTGCTCTTGGTCATATTTTTGCATACACAATATTATATCAGATACGAGTTAAGCATATGATTAGCCAAGGAGGAGTTGATCAAAGCCCCATGGCAACTGGTTATAACCGTGTACCAAGTTCAGGGAGGATACTTGAAACGAATACTGAAAACCTTCTCCGCATGGTACTTAACGTGAACATTACTATATTTACTTTCTAAGTTATAGTTGCTCAGATATATCTCCATATTTTACGTCTTCAGGTTAGGTACTGTGAAAATGAGGTGGACTGCCGACGTTTCCTACAACTAGTCCATTTTGGGGAAAAATTTGACTCCACAAACTGCAAAAAGACGTGTGATAATTGTTGCAGTAGCCAGAGTTTGATTGACAAAGATGTCACCTTGATTACGAGGCAACTGGTATAGGAATTGTTTAAAGTTTATCATGTATATCTCACTTGATGGATGTGTTGTTATTTGATTACATGTCACAATCTTCTGTGCCTTGCACAGGTTGAACTGGTGAAGCAAGCAGGAGAAAGGTTTTCTTCATCTCACATTCTTGAAGTCTACAGAGGTTCCTTAAACCAAATGGTATGCAAGAATAATAACAATCTGCATCTCATTCAGGCTTTACCAAATATTTTATAGCCATATATTCTATTTCTCTTCCAGATTCTTCTAAACCCAAAACCCCGTTACGCCTCACAAAACCATGGTCCCTTTTCTGTACTTGGTACTAATTGTTAATGAAAGCCTTGGCTTCTCAATCCAATCAGTGTGGCTCGATCTTTTGAAAAAATAACTGTCTTCTCTGTATCTAGGTCAAGAAACACAGACATGAGACTTTGCAGCTCCATGGAGCTGGAAAACATTTGTCGAAAATTGAAGTCTCTCGTATCGTGCACTATCTCGTAACAGAGGACATTCTTGTGGAAGATGTAAGGAAAAGTGATATGTATGGATCTGTGTCATCGTTGCTTAAGGTACTTAATTGTGAATAATTTCCACTTCGGTTCTCCCTCTCATTGATGATTAAGGATGTTAGTAAGCGAATTGGAACCCTGATCGTCCGTGTGTGTGCACATGACATCCATTCTTTAAACTGTTAGACTCCTAACGTCGATTTAGCTCTCTGTATCTAGGTGAATAATTCAAAGGCTGCCTCACTTTTTTCTGGAAGCCAGACAATAATGATGAGGTTTGACTTTGTGCTTGAGATATATCTTTCTTTTAAGGTTCACATGAACTAGGTTCAAGCAAATCACTGCAACTAGCTGTGTTTTGTGTTAGCGGCTTGTTAAGGATAACTTTAGCTAAAACTCCCATATTCTGTTTGCAGATTCCCTTCTTCTGTAAAAGTATTAAAGCCGAGTAAACCCGGTGCAACCCCAGCAAAAGGTCCGCTAACATCGGGGAAGCAAAGTACTCTTCCACTTCCAACAGCAGATACTCCTCCAGAAGATGTGGTATACCTCTTTGTAGATTAATCTCATTTTTCCTTTCCTGTTTAGATTAATCTACCACTTTGAATTGCTGAGGTTGGTTCGTTGATTTTTTTCTGTAGACTCTCTCTGCCAACGTGTACACAGCCTTGAGGAAGCTTCGTACGCTTCTTGTCAAAGAATCCCCTGACGGTGTCATGGCATATCATATATTCGGGTAAGTCCTAAAAAACCATTTCGCTTCTCATTTTCCATGATCTTCCAAGTTCTTTACTTGATCATGGTCAATTTGATTCATACCCCCACAAAATCCTTCTGTTTGTGGTGGCAGCAATGCAACACTTCAGCAGATGAGCCTGAAAATTCCAAGAACCAAAGACGAACTCCTCGAGATACATGGCCTCGGGAAGTAAGTTATTTCAGCTCCAAAATCTCTACTCTAATCATCACCACAGCAATGAAGAAAAACACTCAAAAGAGTTTGATGATCTTTATAAATTTCTTTCAGGGCCAAAGTAAGCAACTTCGGTGATCGGTTGTTGGAAACAATTGAATCAACAGTGAACGAGTACTATGGACCCAATAAGAAAGACTCCGTTATCAGCAATGTCAGTCCTGATTCAGCGAAGAGGAGAAGAGACGAGAACGTTAGTCCAAATGTAGCCGAGGATGATGATTTCGCAGAGAGCACAAGCCAGTCTTGCAAAAAAACTGTGAGAAACAAAAGCAATGAGGTTTATCATGGTGAATGTGTAGATAGAGATGTAGGCATGGTCACCGAAAAGCTTGATTTCGGTTTTGAAGATGAAAATGGGTCGGAGATACGACCTGAGGGAAGAGTATTACCTTGGTGAAAGTTGTGTGACCACAGTGAAATATTAGTTGTAACTTTTTTTTAGCTGCTTATATTTTTTTTTGTAAACTCTCATGTTCAGTAAGATTGCAGAAACTATTTAGGAGGATATTGAATGCGTATTTTATTGATCAACGAAAGTTCATCAAATTGACAATTTCAAAGACATACATACATACATCAAAAGAGCATAATTAACAACGAGAAGCAACTTTTATTGGTGCATCAAAGAAAGAAAGAAAACACAAACCACATAACTTTAGAACTTTAAACCTGAACCTCTAAGTTTCTCCTCAACAATGTTATCGATTTTCTTCTCCATTTCAGGAGTGAGATAATTCTTCCAGTCACCGACTTCCCCTTTCCGAAAGAAGCTAGAGTTATGTACATCGTTGGACGTTCCAGTCTTGTTGATTTCCAAACTGCTAAGATTACGCAGAGAGCACAACTCTAAGATCTTTTCAACATCTCCACTATCTTCTTCTTCTTGACTAAAAGGACAAGCCAAGAACTCTGCAAGTCTCTTGATTTGTCCACGAGGCTCTGCTTTCAAGTCTTCGTACCTCATGAAAAGCACATGCTTAGGATCTTCCAAGCTCCCTCTCCAATAGCTCAAGACATTTTCCCAAGAGGGTCCAAAGTAGTTAACTCCGCTACAGAACGAGTCAAACATTGACTCGAGAGTAAAGCTTCCCTCTGCTTCTGTTTCCTCTAGATTGATGCACGTGAAATGCCAAATTGACACCAACACGTCTTTCCAATTCCTCCAAACGTACACAATCTTGCAAAGAGAGTCCTTGAGAGGTACTTGAAGCGTATGCAAGGGCATGTGAGTCGAGAACAGCCTCGGAGATGAGAGGTTGGTTAAGTCCGGTGTTGAGCTTTTGAGAAACAGATTCATTTCTAAGAATGGTACTAAGCCATGAGGATTATCAGATTCCAGAGGATGATGAATGTCATCACAAGAACGGTCCTTATTCTTCTTCGATCTTTCGAGGAGGGCGATGGTGAGGGCCTTGAGCCAAGTGGTGCCGGATTTGGGAAAAGAAGCGAGGATTATATCGGAGTCTTGAGGCTTGAAATTTCTCTGGAAATTAACAACACCTTGTAGAGTGTTGTAGTAGTACCAACATCCTTGGTAGTTGCAGAGCTTCCGAGAAGCATCTTTGTATGAAACAAGTGAAGAGATCAAAGTCTTGGTTTCTTCGCTTAGCTTGTCTTCTCTCAAATGCGATGGAAGCTCCTTCTTAACCATTTTCTTTGTGATTTTTTGTGTGGTTACAAGAATCTGCTTTTGCTCCAAATGCATATATCTCACTATATAAATAAATCTGGATGCCTTTGGGTTCTTGTAAAATGTAGCAACTAGTAGCATATATGTTTAGATTCATATATAATAAACCTGTCATTCTGGATTACTTATCATTCCCTATATTATAATGTTCACGTACGATTACAACTTGTTTCTTTGATTTAGAATACATACTTTATAAACACATAGAGACCTATTATAGTTAACTTATTTCTCTAGTCAAATAGTGGAAGTTGAGAAAAGATATCAAATATCATGAGGTTAGAAATGATAATGTATTTAATGAGACGTCTTTGGTTTGTATTACCTAACAATTTGGAATATAGGCTAGTTTAGTAATCCAAATTCAGTGATCACTTACTACAATAGATTGAATATTGAGTTATTGACCAATTGATGAAATGAGACGTGATTCACGTGAATCATTGATCAAATTGGAGGTATAAACAACTGGATATGCCCTCGTTCAATATTTGATGTTTACCTGTCAATTTAGATTGTTATTTAACGTATTCATGTAAGATCACCTGTCATTTTACCTTTACTAATCATTCCTTATATTATAGACGATTACAAATTGTTCCTTGATATCATTTGTATGATACTCTATAAACACGTTACACATGCAGACATATCATACCAACTGATGCACATAAATAATACAAAAATAAAATAAAAAATAAATGTAGATATGTTTTTATCCTGTGGCATGTGGGATATCAATCACAAAACTCATTACGCATTTAAATATTTTTGTAAAATCCCATCGGATGAGACAAAAAAAAGGGAACATTTTGCAACTCATCTAGATTCACATGGGGAAAAATTACAACAAAAAGTGGGGAAAATCTGAGGGATCATCCCTCAGGGATGCACTTACTTTTCATGTTTTGTGAAAACAACTTTGTTTTCAGTTCATGTGTCAGTTCTTTAAGAGAATGCCTAACCTAAACCTTAAGCTAGATCCAAATACGATAATTACCTTACTCACAAGATGATGCTTGTCCGGGGTTGTGGAGGAACATTCCAGTGCCAAAGACTTCAATCTCTT